CCTGTGTGTGTGTCCTGCCGCACCGCTCTGTGCTCTGCCCCTGTGTGTGTGTCCTGCCGCACCGCTCTGCCCTCTGCCCCTGTGTGTGTGTCCTGCCGCACCGCTCTGCCCTCTGCCCCTGTGTGTGTGTCCTGCCGCACCGCTCTGTGCTCTGCCCCTGTGTGTGTGTCCTGCCGCACCGCTCTGTGCTCTGCCCCTGTGTGTGTGTCCTGCCGCACCGCTCTGCCCTCTGCCCCTGTGACTGACCAGTGAGTCTGCGAGCCGGTCCATGATGTTGCAGGTGTAAAGTCTGCGTCTCTGGTCCTGCCACCAGCTCCTCACGAACACACACGGCTTCTTCTGCACGAACGGCAGGTGGAAGTAGTTCCTGCAACACACAGGCTGTGAGGAGGACCTCAGGGAGGACCTCAGGGAGGACCTCAGCTGTCTGTGAGGACCTCTGTGAGGACCTCTGTGAGGACCTCTGTGAGGACCTCAGCTGTCTGTGAGGACCTCTGTGAGGACCTCAGCTGTCTGTGAGGACCTCAGCTGTCTGTGAGGACCTCAGCTGTCTGTGAGGACCTCAGCTGTCTGTGAGGACCTCAGCTGTCTGTGAGGACCTCTGTGAGGACCTCAGGGAGGTCTCACCTGTCTGTGATGACGGGCCTCATGGGGGGTGTGGTGGACACAGAGCAGACGTCTCCCTCCTCTTCCTCCTCTTCCTCTTCTTCGTCGCTGCAGTTCTGGATCAGCTCGTGCTCCTCTTCCTCGCTCTCTCCGTCCTTCTTCTTCTTCTTTGATGTCGGACGGTTGCTCACGCCGTCCACCTGGTTACCATAGTTACCTGAGACACAGATCAAAGGCTGTTTACCAGTCCCCGTGCTCCTCAGTCCCCGTGCTCCTCAGTCCCTGTGCTCCTGCAGTCCCCGTGCTCCTCAGTCCCTGTGCTCCTGCAGTCCCCGTGCTCCTCAGTCCCTGTGCTCCTGCAGTCCCCGTGCTCCTCAGTCCCCGTGCTCCTCAGTCCCTGTGCTCCTGCAGTCCCTGTGCTCCTCAGTCCCTGTGCTCCTGCAGTCCCCGTGCTCCTCAGTCCCTGTGCTCCTGCAGTCCCTGTGCTCCTCAGTCCCTGTGCTCCTCAGTCCCTGTGCTCCTCAGTCCCTGTGCTCCTGCAGTCCCCGTGCTCCTCAGTCCCTGTGCTCCTGCAGTCCCTGTGCTCCTGCAGTCCCCGTGCTCCTCAGTCCCTGTGCTCCTGCAGTCCCCGTGCTCCTCAGTCCCTGTGCTCCTGCAGTCCCTGTGCTCCTGCAGTCCCCGTGCTCCTCAGTCCCCGTGCTCCTCAGTCCCTGTGCTCCTCAGTCCCTGTGCTCCTGCAGTCCCCGTGCTCCTCAGTCCCTGTGCTCCTGCAGTCCCTGTGCTCCTCAGTCCCTGTGCTCCTCAGTCCCTGTGCTCCTGCAGTCCCTGTGCTCCTCAGTCCCTGTGCTCCTCAGTCCCTGTGCTCCTCAGTCCCTGTGCTCCTCAGTCCCTGTGCTCCTCAGTCCCTGTGCTCCTGCAGTCCCTGTGCTCCTCAGTCCCTGTGCTCCTGCAGTCCCCGTGCTCCTCAGTCCCTGTGCTCCTCAGTCCCTGTGCTCCTGCAGTCCCCGTGCTCCTCAGTCCCTGTGCTCCTCAGTCCCTGTGCTCCTCAGTCCCTGTGCTCCTCAGTCCCCGTGCTCCTCAGTCCCTGTGCTCCTCAGTCCCTGTGCTCCTGCAGTCCCCGTGCTCCTCAGTCCCTGTGCTCCTGCAGTCCCTGTGCTCCTCAGTCCCTGTGCTCCTCAGTCCCTGTGCTCCTCAGTCCCTGTGCTCCTCAGTCCCCGTGCTCCTCAGTCCCTGTGCTCCTCAGTCCCCGTGCTCCTCAGTCCCTGTGCTCCTGCAGTCCCTGTGCTCCTCAGTCCCTGTGCTCCTGCAGTCCCTGTGCTCCTGCAGTCCCCGTGCTCCTCAGTCCCTGTGCTCCTCAGTCCCTGTGCTCCTGCAGTCCCCGTGCTCCTCAGTCCCTGTGCTCCTGCAGTCCCTGTGCTCCTCAGTCCCTGTGCTCCTCAGTCCCTGTGCTCCTCAGTCCCTGTGCTCCTCAGTCCCTGTGCTCCTCAGTCCCTGTGCTCCTCAGTCCCTGTGCTCCTGCAGTCCCCGTGCTCCTCAGTCCCTGTGCTCCTCAGTCCCTGTGCTCTCACCGATAGTGATTTCGAAGCTGATGGGTTTGTCTCCGATCCTTCGGTCGATCATCGTGGCCTCGAGGAAAGATCCAAACAGAAAGAACTCTTCTACTTTCCCCGTGGCGCTCTGCGGACGACAGGAAGCATCAGACTGCCCTCTGCACCTGTATCCTACACCTGTATCCTACACCTGTATCCTACGCCTGTATCCTACACCTGTATCCTACACCTGTATCCTACACCTGTATCCTACGCCTGTATCCTACACCTGTATCCTACACCTGTATCCTACGCCTGTATCCTACACCTGTATCCTACACCTGTATCCTACACCTGTATCCTAGGACTGTATCCTACGCTTGTATCCTACACCTGTATCCTACACCTGTATCTTACACCTGTATCCTACGCCTGTGTCGTACACCTGTATCCTACACCTGTATCCTAGGACTGTATCCTACGCCTGTATCCTAGACCTGTATCCTACGCCTGTATCCTACACCTGTATCCTACACCTGTATCCTACACCTGTATCCTAGACCTGTATCATACACCTGTATCATATACCTGTATCTTACACCTGTATCTTACACCTGTATCCTACGCCTGTATCCTACACCTGTATCCTACACATGTATCCTACGCCTGTATCCTATGCCTGTATCTTACACCTGTATCCTAGACCTGTATCATACACCTGTATCATATACCTGTATCATACACCTGTATCTTACGCCTGTATCCTACACCTGTATCCTACACCTGTATCCTACACCTGTATCCTACGCCTGTATCCTACACCTGTATCCTACACCTGTATCCTAGGACTGTATCCTACGCTTGTATCCTACACCTGTATCCTACACCTGTATCTTACACCTGTATCCTACGCCTGTATCCTACACCTGTATCCTAGGACTGTATCCTAGGACTGTATCCTACGCCTGTATCCTAGACCTGTATCCTACGCCTGTATCCTACACCTGTATCATATACCTGTATCATACACCTGTATCTTACACCTGTATCCTACACCTGTATCCTACACCTGTATCCTACACATGTATCCTACGCCTGTATCCTATGCCTGTATCTTACACCTGTATCCTACGCCTGTATCCTACCCCTGTATCCTACACCTGTATCCTACGCCTGTATCCTACACCTGCATCCTACGCCTGTATCCTACACCTGTATCCTACGCCTGTATCCTACACCTTTATCCTACGCCTGTATCCTACACCTGTATCCTACGCCTGTATCTTACACCTGTATCTTACACCTGTATCCTACACCTGTATCATACACCTGTATCATACACCTGTATCCTACGCCTGTATCCTACGCCTGTATCCTACACCTGTATCATACACCTGTATCCTACACCTGTATCCTACACCTGTATCTTACACCTGTATCCTACACATGTATTACAGGTGTATCTTACAGATACAGGTGTAAGATACAGGTGTAGAGGACAGTAGGCTAAAGGGGCGTTCACACCGGACTTCAAACACCGGCGTCAAAAGCGTCAGGTTTCCATTGAAAGTGAATGGTGAAGCGCGTCAGGTGAAGCCGAGAGCCCCAGCGTCACTTGACGCGCTTCAAAAGCTTCAAGAGTCGCGCGTAATACGCGCTCACTTGAAGCTTTTGACGCGCGAAACGCTCGCGTATCACAACAATCCCTCTGACGCCGAAGCTGAGCAAAGCTGAGCTTTTGAAGCTTTGACGCGGGCTTCAACCAATCAGGAGACGAGGAGCAGCAGCAGCAGAGGGTCTGTCTCTGTCATGAAGAGAAGTCATGTATCTGCTGCTGTTGTTTTATTGTCATTATTGTTATTAGTAATATTATTTGTATGAGTAGTAACATTCTGAGTAACAAAATCATTGTACACATGCTGTGTAGTAAACGTAGTTTATAAGAACAGGCTGACGATGAGTCTGGCTCAGAGCAAGGCAGCTCCGGGCGGGCGAGAGCCGGCGAGAGGCAGGGAGAGGCGAGCGAGAGCCGGGGAGAGGCAGGGAGAGGCGAGAGAGAGCCGAGGAGAGGCAGGGAGAGCCGGGGAGAGGCGGGCGAGAGCCGGGGAGAGGCAGGGAGAGGCAGAGAGAGGCAGAGAGAGGCAGAGAGAGGCGAGAGAGAGGCAGAGAGAGGCAGAGAGAGGCAGGGAGAGGCAGGGAGAGGCGGGGAGAGGCGGGGAGAGGCAGGGAGAGGCAGGGAGAGGCAGGGAGAGGCAGGGAGAGGCAGGGAGAGGCGGGGAGAGGCAGGGAGAGGCGGGGAGAGGCAGGGAGAGGCAGGGAGAGGCAGGGAGAGGCGGGAGAGGCAGGGAGAGGCAGGGAGAGGCGGGGAGAGGCAGGGAGAGGCGGGGAGAGGCAGGGAGAGGCGGGAGAGGCAGGGAGAGGCAGGGAGAGGCAGGGAGAGGCAGGGAGAGGCAGGGAGAGGCAGGGAGAGGCAGGGAGAGGCAGGGAGAGGCAGGGAGAGGCGGGGAGAGGCGGGAGAGGCGGGAGAGGCGGGGAGAGGCGGGAGAGGCAGGGAGAGGCAGGGAGAGGCAGGGAGAGGCGGGGAGAGGCAGGGAGAGGCAGGGAGAGGCAGGGAGAGGCAGGGAGAGGCAGGGGGAGAGGCAGGGAGAGGCAGGAGAGGCAGGGAGAGGCAGGGAGAGGCAGGGAGAGGCAGGGAGAGGCAGGGAGAGGCAGGAGAGGCGGGGAGAGGCAGGGAGAGGCGGGGAGAGGCAGGGAGAGGCGAGGGAGAGGCGAGGAGGCGGGGAGAGGCAGGGGAGAGGCGAGGAGAGGCGGGGAGAGGCAGGGAGAGGCAGGGAGAGGCGGGGAGAGGCGGGAGAGGCGAGGGAGAGGCGGGGAGAGGCGGGGAGAGGCAGGGAGAGCGGGGAGAGGCGGGGAGGCGGGAGAGGCAGGGAGAGGCGGGGAGAGGCAGGGAGAGGCAGGGAGAGGCGGAGGCAGGAGAGGCGGGGAGAGGCGGGGAGAGGCGGGGAGAGGCGGGGGCAGGGAGAGGCGGGAGAGGGGGGAGAGGCGGGAGAGCGGGAGAGGCAGGGAGAGGCGGGGAGAGGCGGGGAGAGGCGGGGAGAGGCGGGAGAGGCGGAGAGGCGGGAGAGGCGGGAGAGGCAGGGAGAGGCGGGAGAGGCGGGGAGAGGCGGGGGAGAGGCGGGGAGAGGGGAGGGCGGGAGAGGCGGGGAGAGGCGGGGAGAGGCGGGGAGAGGCAGGGAGAGGCGGGGAGAGGCGGGGAGAGGCGGGGAGAGGCGGGGAGAGGCAGGGAGAGGCAGGGAGGCGGGAGAGGCAGGGAGAGGCGGGGAGAGGCGGGGAGAGGCGGGAGGAGAGGCGGGGAGAGGCGGGGAGAGGCGGGGAGAGGCGGGGAGAGGCAGGGAGAGGCGGGGAGAGGCGGGAGAGGCGGGGAGAGGCGGGGAGAGGCGGGGAGAGGCGGGGAGAGGCGGGAGAGGCGGGAGAGGCGGGAGAGGCGGGGAGAGGCAGGGAGAGGCGGGAGAGGCGGGGAGAGGCAGGGAGAGGCGGGGAGAGGCGGGGAGAGGCAGGGAGAGGCGGGGAGAGGCGGGAGAGCGGGGAGAGGCGGGGAGAGGCGGGGAGAGGCGGGGAGAGGCGGGGAGAGGCGGGGAGAGGCGGGGAGAGGCGGGAGAGGCGAGGGAGAGGCGGGAGAGGCGGGAGAGGCGGGGAGAGGCAGGGAGAGGCAGAGCGGGAGAGGCGGGGAGAGGCGGGAGAGGCGGGAGAGGCGGGAGAGGCGGGAGGCGGGGAGAGGCAGGGAGAGGCGGGGAGAGGCAGGGAGAGGCAGGGAGAGGCGAGGGAGAGGCGGGGAGCAGGCGGGGAGAGGCAGGGAGAGGCGGGGAGAGGCGGGGAGAGGCGAGGAGAGAGGCAGGGAGAGGCAGGGAGAGGCAGGGAGAGGCAGGGAGAGAGCGGGAGAGAGGCGGGGAGAGGCGGGGAGAGGCAGGGAGAGGCAGGGAGAGGCAGGAGAGGCGGGGAGAGGCAGGGAGAGGCGGGAGAGGCGGGGAGAGGCGGGGAGAGGCGGGAGAGAGGCGGGAGAGAGCAGGGAGAGGCGGGAGAGGCGAGGGAGAGGCGGGAGAGGCAGGGAGAGGCAGGGAGAGGCGGGAGAGGCGAGGAGAGGCGAGGGAGAGGCAGGGAGAGGCGGGGGAGGGAGAGAGCAGGGAGAGAGCGGGGAGAGGCGGGAGAGGCGGGGAGAGGCGGAGAGGGGAGGGAGGGAGAGGCAGGAGAGGCGGGAGAGGCGGGAGAGGCGGGGAGAGGCGGGGAGAGGCGGGGAGAGGCGGGAGGGCGGAGAGGCAGGGAGAGGCGGGGAGAGGCGAGGGAGAGGCGGGGAGAGGCAGGGAGAGGCAGGGAGAGGCGGGAGAGGCGGGAGAGGCGGGGAGAGGCAGGGAGAGGCGGGGAGAGGCGGGGAGAGGCGGGGAGAGGCGGGGAGAGGCGGGGAGAGGCGGGGAGAGGCGGGGAGAGGCGGGAGAGGCGGGGAGAGGCGGGGAGAGGCGGGGAGAGGCGGGGAGAGGCGGGGAGAGGCGGGGAGAGGCGGGGAGAGGCGGGGAGAGGCGGGAGAGGCGGGGAGAGGCGGGAGAGGCAGGGGAGAGGCGGGGAGAGGCGGGAGAGGCGGGAGAGGCGGGGAGAGGCAGGGAGAGGCGGGGAGAGGCGGGAGAGGCGGGAGAGGCGAGGAGAGGCGGGAGAGGCAGGGAGAGGCGGGAGAGGCAGGGAGAGGCAGGAGAGGCGAGGGCGGGGAGAGGCGGGAGAGGCGAGGAGAGGCGGGGAGAGGCGGGAGAGGCGAGGGAGAGGCGAGGAGAGGCGGGGAGAGGCAGGGAGAGGCGGGGAGAGGCGGGGAGAGGCGGGGAGAGGCGGGGAGAGGCGGGGAGAGGCGGGGAGAGGCGGGAGAGGCGGGGAGAGGCGGGAGAGGCAGGGAGAGGCGGGGAGAGGCGAGGGAGAGGCAGGGAGAGGCGGGGAGAGGCGGGGAGAGGCGGGGAGAGGCGGAGGCGGGAGGGCGGGGAGAGGCGGGGAGAGGCAGGGAGAGGCAGGGAGAGGCAGGGAGAGGCAGGGAGAGCGGGGAGAGGCGGGGAGAGGCGGGGAGAGGCGGGGAGAGGCGGGGAGAGGCGGGGAGAGGCGGGAGAGGCAGGGAGAGGCAGGGAGAGGCAGGGAGAGGCGGGGAGAGGCAGGGAGAGGCGGGGAGAGGCGAGCGAGAGCCGGGGAGAGGCAGGGAGAGGCGGGGAGAGGCAGGGAGAGGCGAGCGAGAGCCGGGGAGAGGCGGGGAGAGGCGGGGAGAGGCAGGGAGAGGCGAGGAGAGGCGGAGAGAGGCGGGGAGAGGCAGGGAGAGGCGAGGAGAGGCAGGGAGAGGCGA